AAATCAACTTTGAATAAATGATATTTTGGTTCCTGATTTCTATAAATGAATTAAAGTTTCATTACTTACATTCTTTCCCAAATAAAATTTATCCAACAAAAATGTGAGAAGATCCCAAATAAAACTCTCTGGCACTTTTTTTTACCGGACAAACAACATTAATATGCAATGTTTCGGGTCATATCTCTATTTTCTGACTGTTTAGGAAGACAAAGCTAAAGGTTTTCAGTAGGATTTTAACTGTTTAGCACAAAATTATAGTCATTATTTTGTTCCAGTGCTATATGAACGTAAATAAAACGACTACTACAATAATAAATTGAGGTGATGACATGAAATAAAATGAAAAAAATCACCCGTGAAGTGATCATCCTCCAAATAAAAAACAGATTAACTATTCTGAAATTATGATGTAGTAATGTCTACTATTTGATAAAAGCAGTCAATGAAAACTGGAAAACTAATCTCGATAAGCAATTTTTTAAAACTTTATTTCATATTTCATATAATATGTCTTGATTTTAAAAATAATGAAGAGTTTTCTGGGTAACAAACCATTTGTTTAGTGATACTACCTATAAACTGGAATGATTTGTCATGTTTTTATGGAAGGCTATTATTATCAAACCGTTTTATGTTCGATTGTACGGCTTCGAATTCCAGTCAGTTAGTCAGTTACAACGTGGAACTTAGTATGTACGTACAGTAGTTCAAGTTACCGTACCATATTAGCACACAATGAGAGAACTGAAAATTCAAATCCCATAATGGTAGATGTAGTAGAATTTTCAGCGGTAATTGAGAAGATACAGGATCAAAGATATTATTCAAGAAATATAATGCAGTGAAATAAATCTAAAAAGAGAAAGATAAAGGTGATGAGAAATTCTGAAGATTAGAATTTCAGAAAACACGAAGAGTGGATGCACCGATGCCATTGCAAACTATTTTGAGCCATACCACTTGAGGTCTCGAACCATCGGTCACTATCATTTCGCGGACAACAACCATGCAGTCTACACCTACCAACATGGCTCAGTCCACTTGTCAGTGACTTTATGGACTTGTGCCATGGACTTGGTTTGACCGCCCCTACCTTTCTTTCAATACGCCTTTACATCATAAAACATCACAGTGGTTGGGCATTTGTAACAAATTTCTCAGCCACCTCAAATGATGAACATTCACTACTTCCTTTATTGATTTTCTATCCTTACTTGACACCCGCTTCCTAACAGCAGCACTGCATACTCAGTGGTTCTAGGATATACGAGCAATGCTTCTAAGTGACCTAAGATTGACGACTAGTAATCTAAGAATTTCCTCTGCTGTTACTGGTCAGACATGATACTTTAGAACAAACATAAATCAAGTAGAAAAAAGGATACTTCAAACTTGATGTACCAACTGAATATAATTTTTGTTGTTTTTTCGTACGAAAGTTCACAAACGTGAAGCGATGAGTTTTGGGTAATTGAAATTCTAATGGTAAATACATAACACGTCATCAAATACGTGTATATTTTCTCCCTGAGGATGGTTGTGTCAGGCATTTAAAACCGAGTTAACGAATATAAAAGCTGAGTTTTGAAGCACAAAGTTCCCTCATCTTGTCCATTAGTAATGGGTACCAAACTTTTAATCGCCAAGGTTTTTAAACATATATACTAACAGACTTGATTCACCTGAGGTGGTTGAAACACAACCCCCACCCACTGATCGATTGTCTACTACAAAGTGCGGTCCTGGATGATACAAGAGTATTTTGAAGAATAGCGGTAACAGTCATATGTGGACAAGACATGAATCCATGTAGTCAAAACTGCCAGTTCTTAGTATTCCGAGATATGCAGATTTATGGCACAAAGTGAAAGTGGAACAGCCTTGAAATTGGGTCTATAGGTGTATGATCCCCTTATTTTATTTCGACTTTTCTACTTCTATTCCTTTTTCAATTTTTCAACAACGTTTTCTATGTTTATATTTTTACCTCATTTAATATTTTTCACTTTCAAGCTGCTTATTTTCTCCATCTGTAGATATTTAAGAAGTAACGGCTTAGGTTAACGTTTATCTGTATCAGGTCCTATGTTATTTAGGACTTCTTGGTCGATTATGTCTAATATGTTTTAAAGTAAAGTCAGTGATACAAATAAACATCAAGTGCAGTATTCACGAATTTTTGTTATTTTTTTATCTATTACTCCACCCTCTAGCCTTTCGTTTTAAGCAATAATCAAACGATATTTCAACAAGGTCGAGTGGTGATTAATTGGCTAACACAAGATTTTCGGGTTTAAATGACGTAACAGTACACAATTTAAACCTAATTCTCTGGGATTGGCATTTTTACTAACATTAACTCCACATTCAAATATTGTTAGAGTTGCGAATCGTGTTATCACTCATTTCAGAGCGAAATTCCAAGCAAATTTTAGCTCAGATTGGTCATTTGAGTTAATTTCCAAATCTAGACATTCTTTGAACATAGAACCAAGCAATCTCTTACCAGACTTCTCAAACACTGTCACAACTATATATTTGATCGGTCATCCAGAAATTACTCAAGTACCAAACATCAAGTGGCATTAACGATTGTAATAATGCCTCTGAAGATAGAATTACTTCTTCTAGTAGGAAGATGAAGAATGTACACTCCAAAAACCTTAAGAAGTATACAAAGAACCACATACTAATTTTAAAAAAGTATAAATGTTTTACCAGATTAAACTGACAAGCACATTTTCAATAAACCTCTTGAATAAGAACTAAGGATTAATTAGAACTGAAAGGATAAGGCTGAGGAACTTGAAGTTGGATATGTGTGGCCTCTGTGAAAAATGGGAACATGAAGCATTTGTCCAACTTCTTTATAAGCACTTAACATCAGAGTTTCGGAGTAAATAGTGATTGGAAATTCTTACACCTGCCAAACTCTCACTCAATCAGTATCACAGAACACATGTTACTTAACAGCTCGACAAACAACATAATATGAAAGGTTTGAATCTGTAAGACAATAATGCTTGCTGTTTAAAGCTTTATGTTCATGTTTTGTCATTTTATTATTTTAAGAGGATATATAGTGTTAAGTTGCCTCTTAAGGGTCCAAGAACAAACAAAATGCAACTAGAAACATCTCGCAATAACGGCTAGTACTAATTTGTTAATGAAAGTTATATACAACGAATAAATAGAATCCCCAGAATAAGTTTGTTCTCTCTGACCATAGCTGTGTCGAAGGATTCGTAATTCTTTTTATTTCAACCAATGAACACTATCCAGGACTGTATTAACTCAACCAACTAGAGATATAAGGTTTCTAAATTAAAGGAGTGAAAATCGTTTCTGAGTAACTTACAGAATAAGTATGAAATATTCGCGGTTCTTGGTGTAAAAAGCCAGCAAGTATTGGAAGACATAGATGTAGTTAATTAACAGCTTCTAGTGAAAAATCCATTATTTAAACTTTCATTCATTTGACCTGAGTTAATCTCACAGCAATATGGTTCGAAATAAAGTAAACTCTGATTAAAAACTAGAAATATTTGTTCTTTTAAAAAAACAATTACAGTAATTTTTTCCTAAAAATATTCCTAGTCTACCAAAGGAACAACCGTAATAATTTAATAATTAGTCACCAAAAGTTGATGAACTTTACTAATGTAGTCTAGTTCCTAGTCATTTAACTGCTCTCACTTCCTAGAATGTTGTAACAGTAACTAGTACATCGAAATTATTAGAAAGTTCAAAAATATTTTTATTTATGAGCTATTCAACAGAACCGAACGAAATATATGTTTCTGCATCAGTTTACTGATCTGTGAACGTAACAACCTAATTAGCATTGATTCCTATCAACCGACGCTTGTGGAAATTTACCACAGTTCCACTATAAAGAATATGCATTCTACTTCGGACAATCGTACCACCGGTCTTACCTTAATATTTAACGCAGGACAGCTACATAAACTTAGTAACAGTAACCTCACGATAGTCGGTACGCCCTGAATGTCTACTCCTTATCAATAGTTTTTTTACCTCGCAACCTGTTGCCGCATCCTTTTGTACTGTCTAGTGACGTGAATAGCTCAGAATTACGATCTATTCTTCTGTTTCATGAGTTGTGCTTTTCCCTTCAATGATATTAGTTCACCTTAAAAAGAAAGAACCATAGTGGCCATTTATTATAGTAGCCCTTTATCAAAAAAACCTTTCTAGAATACCTATTTAGGCAGACAAAAAATTCAAAAATGAACGTCAAAATTAATTATTTTACATCTTAAAACCACCGTGTTTAAAGGCATTTGTAAGAGATTTTGTAGCAAAGTGGAAGAAAAGCTGTGTATTATTTCCGTAGCGAGTCAAGCACTAAATTGTTAACGTGAGCCTGAACCAACAGGAGCATAATACCCCGGAATCTTGTGTGTGCAAAACGTCATTGTGTAAATTTATGAAATAAAGAATGAGTTTTAAGTCCCTCAACAAAACGAGATGCTAACTTCATCATGCACAATATCCTTGCAGCCAAAAATCTTCGAAACATTCAATATTCTTGAATAAAGGTATATTTATGAAGCTTTAAGGTAGGATCTGCCCTTGAAATTCGTTTTTTGGAAAGATTTTCTCAAGTGCACAATTACTATTCCTTAAAATTCCGCACTGTTTAATAAAATGTCAGAGTGAGTCATCCTAACTGTGATACACTCGGTTGTCTAGTGTTTTATACATTAAGGTCCTATTGAAAACTGTCATTTTATTTAGTAACATCGGCTCAAGAGATATCTGTCAATTAAAAGGTTTCTAACAACTTTCGCTAGAATCAAGCAGACCCTCAAAAATCTAAAAATAGTTCTTATTTCAGCTGGGAAAGCAATTATAACACAAAGTTTAAAAAGCAACTTGTTTATCAACTAATGAAACATTGATTAAGACTTTCTCTAAAACTTTATCTTAGCAGTTCAATGAAAAAACCTGTAAATTAAGTTATATTAACTAACCGATAAGACTGGCTTCATTGAATCAAAATTTACATCTCGAAACGAGTGAAAATAACCAAACACTTTAAATAAGTCACCGGTACTTTCGCACAGTAAAACAAACAACAGCCAACTGGAGAATAAACGGAAAGTAAACAACTTGTGTATATATATTTGAAGATTTTTCAAAAAAATACTCAAACAACTATGAAGGCATATCCAAGGATACATTAACAAAATACTCATAAAACACCTATATCTTATTACAAATTTCTAACATTTGATGCTAATCCTGTTATTTGGATGGATAGACTGTACATATTCAAGGATTTAAACCATATGATATAATTCTTCTTAAAATAAGTTACTCAAAGACATTAGCTCTCTCATCGATTGTCATTCGGTTCGTTCCAGTTCTATCCAGAAGGTAAGTTCCAGAAACTTTCTACACTTTAACGGTCTAGTAGACTGTTGCTGACTGTTCATTCTCTGTGTCCTTTAAAGAAAGCCTTTACTAATCATACACATAAGCCAATATAACATAATGTCTGTCTTGCCATCTACTGAGTTTCCAGATTTTAAATACCAGTCTTTATTTATTTTTATTTAAATTTAGCCATCCCACAGCTACGTGACAGAAGTAAAGTCGCATCAGTTTGTTGGCTCTTCATCTTCATCTGATCAGAACACACTAGAGGTACTTGATATACAAGAGTGGCTGTAAAACGTGACACAAAATTTGATTTGAAAGGGAGTTGTCATGGTTGGTTTGACGGTAAGCACTTGGAGCCTGATACACTATCTATCTAGACCTTTATACCGATTAATGAAGTGAAAAAAATCAGTCGTTATACAATTAATAAATAATTTGGTTATAACGAGCTGAAAGAAATAAGAAAGTTCCTCAGTAACCCAGATTACGTGGAAACTCTATATTTTAAAGGTTACATTGAATATCTTAGGTGTATCCAGTCGGTTTGCTCAAAACTCTCTTCTAATCTCACTTCCATCCTTATAAGATAACCGATTAATTAAATTTTAATACTAAAAAGAGGTTCCGATACACCAACTCCGATGACTAAAACAATGTACTATATTTCGTAAGCAGATGTAATGTAGCCGTTCTCGATGTTTAACGTAAGTGCAAAATCAGGTATTTTCCAGCATTTTTCCTGTCACTCTAGTGGGGGAGCACTGCATATAAGAGTATAATCACTGATTATTGCATTTTAGTCCCTAAACTTCACTTATTAACTCTTCTACTCTGGAAGAGGACAGAACTGTGTTCAATGAAGGTAGATGTGGTTATCTTCAGTTTATTAAAATAAAATCTTATTTTGAAGTAGTGCTCTTATATATATTGTGTACTCATTAAATAAAAGTATGATTACTGTTCCTTTAAGAACCTCTACGACTTAATTTCTAGTGTTTACTCCTAACCCTAGTGCTAACGAATCAAAGAGGTGTGTCAACTTGAATTTAGAATACGAATGTTTCTGAAAATATATTTAGTTAAACGAATCAACAGATATTACTGAGAAATGACTAATATCTAAATGTGCTGTGTGGCCACAAATGGAATGAAATTATATCAGTATTGGAATAACGCCAAAAACAGCTAACCAGAAAAAACAGTTCAAACCTTTTATACTCTTCGCTAGGAGTAATAAGGTCTTCATTTACAATAGTTATGACGTTTCACTCGCCGTTGCCTCTTCGTCGTTTCTACCTACGCTCTCACTAACTGCAGTTCAGACGAGCTAAAAGATGAGTTTTACAGAAAGCTTTCGGACCTCCTCCAAAAAGTTGGGAACTCCGATTTAGTAATAATGGATGGTGACTACAATTCTCATTTAGGTAGACTGAGTGAAAACGAATGACATCCGGGTGGACCTTATAATGGTAACCGTCTACTGTAGCTATGCTCAGATAATCGCCTATTTCTAGCAAACACTAACTATGAGCACAAGGAAAAATATCTTTTGACATCGCAACCCCCAAAGTAGTCGCAACACTGGACCCAACTAGGTCACATCGCTATCAGCCAGCGATGGAGGGACTCGTTCTGCACGCTTTCTGCAGCACATGCTTAAATTCAGAGCATGCTCTAGTGAGAGCACGTACTTGTTTGCGTCTTACGGGATGTAGGAAAGACACCGCGAATAAACCTGTTAAGGTTCTACTGAATGATAAAAAGGCTAAGAATATATTTCAGGAACAATTAAAAAAATAGTTCGAAAACCACGTAAGTGATTCCAACTTCGAGGTAGCTTGGAATGATATATAAAAAGCTGTGGAAACAGCAGTGGTATCTGCTAGTAAGGTAAACCGTAAAGTTAGACCGAAGCGATGGATTTCTGTAGCATCTACTGAACTGATTGATGCGCGAAAACTCTTTCCGTCTGCATCTAAGTACGACGAGGAGCAGGGTCACCTTATAAAAAGCCTACGCAATGATCGCGACCAGTGGTGCTTGGTAAAAGCAAGTGAGATGGAAAAGGAAGTGATTATAGGTAACAGTAGACAACTTTTCAGCCTAAGCGAGCGAACTGGTACTAGGAATACAAAAGTTAGCGAAACTATTCAGGAAAATGATGGGATTATTATCCTCTCTCAACTCATGAGGTTTTAACGATGGGCAGAACACTTTAGGTATCAGTTCGATTGGCCTCCAGCCTCATTTCGGTTACCCACACCCTCCATTCAACCTGAATGGCAAATCTGTGTACGTCCTCCGCCTCCCAGTAAAGTTGAGAAAACTGTGGGAAATCTAAAGCGAGGGAGAGCAGTGAGTCCTGATATGCTAACCTCGGAGATATTTAAGCATGGTGGTCCAGTTTTAGCAGTTAGATCTACTGAGAGCTTAGTCGGAATTTAGAAACTGATCGTAATCCCATCTGACCGGTCTCAATGGCTGATCGTCCAAATTTATAAGAAAGGACATAAGCCCTCTTGTGGCAGTCACAGATGGATCAGCATAGCTAATACAGTCTCCAAGATGTTAGCCTCGATAATACTTCGACGCTCAACTAGAACGCGTGAAGAGCAGACTTGAGAAAACCAGGCTGGTTTCAGACCTGGATTTATAGACCAGATATTCACTCTTCGTCAGGTCCTAGAACATAGACACACATTTCGGCGTCGCACTATAGTCTCATTCCTTGACATTAAAGTGACATTTGATTCTGTCGATCGTGAGGTTCTGTGCTAGTGTCTTTAAATAACAGAAGTACCGAAGAAGTATATTGACCCTATACAAGTTCTCTACTCGAACACTACTGGTCGAGTGAGGCCCTATGGAGAAATTTCATCGGAAGTGATTACCTTAAGTGGTGTCCAACAGCCTTGTTCACTTTCTCAATTTGCCATAGACAAGCTTTTACGTATAACAGAGGCAGACCTTCTACCATAAGACTTACTTGTTGATTTATAATATACCGATTACATAGTTCCGTTTCGCGAAGACGCTAAAAATATGCAGTCTTTGGATACCTTAAATAACAATGCAGACGTTTTCAGAATGCCTTTCTCTCTCTTGTAAAGCAAAATGCTGCTTCGAGATTGGTTTGCGTCGACCCCTGAACTAGTGTTAGAAGGTGAAATGGTTCATCGTGCGGACCATTTCATTTACCTTGGGAGTCTCAAGATTGCTAACGGTCACTGAAGTCACTGACAAGTGGATTGAGCCATGTTGGTAGGTGTAGACTGCATGGTTGTTGTCCGCGAAATGATAGTGACCGATGGTTCGAGACCTCAAGTGGTATGGCTCAAAATAGTATGCAATGGCATCGGTGCATCCACTCTTCGTGTTTTCTGAAATTCTAATCTTCAGAATTTCTCATCACCTTTATCTTTCTCTTTTTAAATTTATTTCACTGAATTATATTTCTTGAATAATATCTTTGATCCTGTATCTTCTCGATTACCGCTGAAAATTCTACTTAATCTACGACTATGGGATTTCAATTGATAATTGAGTCTCTGCACTACCGTGGAATAGCAACCTGAAAGGAAGTTCTTATGTGCTAATTTCCACGTTTCAACAAAAATAAATATGATATATGACATGGAAATATCGATTTCAAATACCGCGAGATATACATCCTAGCGAAAGGCATAGATTTGTATGTTCGGGTAACATTATTATGCCCTCCTGTGAAAGCCAGGGATTTAAACTTTCGAATATGCGTTACTAAATATCAGCAATCCACTTCTAGGGTTTAATTGTTACCACAAATTTACTCCAGCTGATTCACTTAAAAAATGAATGTCATATGACCTACTTTTCCTACTTAAATGCCTACCTACTGCTCATAATAAGTGCTTTTTTTCTTTTTACGTTGCGATATCTTGGCGTCTGTTTGTTTATTAACGGTGTCTGATTGAAATATGTGTATAGTTTAGACTCGATGTTGACTTGTGGACTCAAGAGCAGGGTAAAGGAAATCTAGGAAATCATAAACCCAGAAGTATTTAGCTCTTGACTAAAGGCAGTTGAGATGGTTGTACAAGTACTCCGTCAAATTAGCAGCATAATAATATCTGGTCGAAAAAATATTATAGTTTTTCAATTGACTTCCAAAATTGAGGGAGATCGTTTGAGCTACTTACAAATTATGAGTAGTTTAAAATCATTAACAAAAAGATATTGAACTCGTTCGTTCAACCTCACGAAGTTACTGGTTTGTTTGTTAACGAACTTACTGACTGTCTTCAGATTCGCTCTTTCAAAAATTTTCAGTAGTTAAGTTTTTAATTTTGTTTTGCTTCTTTGAGGGATAATTTAATTCTCAAGTTTTGGATGCTTTGGTCTTCACCGATTAATGTGCGTATTGCAGTATGTTTTTATCCGTATCCTTTACCAAATTCCTCGTTTCACGCTCAGTACAATGAAAAATAGTAGCTTTCAATTATTCCTCACATTATTGAATAGCATGCTTCAAACTAACTGGATTATGTAACCATTCTTTACCTAAAATCCTTTGAAAAACCTAATAAAATTCAATTTATTAATAAAATTGTCATCAAACCATGTTGTCTTCTTCTTTGATAGGGTCGAAGTGTTACTTCTAGTGTAATCTGAGTTTGTAAAAGAATGAACCCTTCTGTGAGAAC